TTGACTCCTTATGCAGCAACCTTTGGTGCCAATTAAGAGGCAACAACCTAGAGGTTCCGACATATGGGTTAAAATGCACCGTTGCTCATTAAAGTACTCGGAGGGGTCGTGGATCTATATCAGAGGCAGTGTGCTGTGTCGTAGCTAGAAAGATTTCATACATTTACAAAACAAAACGGCAAAAAAAAATTGTTGGGCGCCACCTACCTGCGTAGGAATTTGTCGGTACGAGCCGAAAAGGTACTAATATCCAAACCGATGTGAATTTAAATATGTAAATATATACGGTATGAAAATTGGCAGTCGTGAATCAGGTGATTGAAGAAATGGAGAATATTGACAATAGTATTTTATTTAGCGCAAACAAAAAAAATATATAAAATGTCAGTTAGCGCAAACAAAAAAATATAAGAAAAATGTTAGTTCTAAGTTCGACACTGAATGCGCACTGGAATTCACTAGGAAACCTCACAACGTAACATAAACATAAATTCGTTCCGTCATAAAAAAAGGAAAAAACATATTGACATAGACATAAAATATATAGTCATAATATAAACAAAGAATCCGACATAAAATCTTTGGTACTGAGTATAACCGGTATAATATCACATTGACTGGTGCATCAGTCTGGAATATCCCTAGTACATCTACTCTTTATTAAAATTAAAAAAAAACAAGAAAAGTTAAAACGGAAAGAAAATATCGTCAGTACGTAAGTTTTATGTCGTATACGAAAATAAAATATTAATACGAAGGCAAGTGTAATAAATGCGTGTCTAATATGAGGAAACACAATATTTATTCAACAATAACAAATTAACCATAGATTTATTTATTGAGCATTGCCTGTCATATTAAAACAAGAATGCTGAGCTCAACAGATCTTTAATATTTATTTACTCATAATACTTAACTACGAAAATTAACAATAATCATTTTAAAACTACAGAGCTCACATATAACTATGTTGGAAAAGTTCCTCAATTACTTGATCTCTGCCTGGTGTATAAAGGTGATAAATAAAGCTGTTACCTTGGTTCCGGAGCGTTAATAATCCCCACGAACTACTATCCAGCAAGACAACACCCAATCAGAAGTCGCTTGGCAAAAGAAATAACCCTGATACATCTGCTATTCTCGTTATTGAACCACTATGGACTCTCGAAATGTATTAACAGCAAAACAGTATATGTCTTTGCTGTGAATTAACTGTGGATAATTGAAATATCTCCAATTTTATTCACAAAAACTTGCAACACGTGAACTATTTGTAATCACACAAATAAACTTTATAACGAATCTCTTAAATAATTCGGTAAGGCACATTACTTATTTATTTTTCAAAAATCGGCACTGATGGCCAAGATTAAATCGAAATTTCTATATTTTTTTGTCACACCACCATCCTCTGTACTTCACCAGCTAGCGTCCGCCGTAAAATTGCTTCCTTTCCGGAAATACGTTCCTAGCCCCTTCTGTCAAGTCAACGTCGTCTTCTTTTCCGTTATCATTTACAGAAGGTTACGAATATACCATTTACTAGGTATGCAACCAGTTAAACAATTTCCAGTATACAATTATTTTCTATATTAAGTCGGGGACTGAAAATTGCTACACTTAAACAAGCCACCTATTCCACCACATATCCCACCTATTTTTCTAAAAAATCTTCCAGAAACGGCGAACAATAGTGATTTCCCCTTAATCTGGAAAAAAGTTTTAATCATTCCCATACTCAAATCTGACAAATCTTCAATCTCCCTAACTTGCTCTATGAGCAAAACTATTAGAAAAAATAATCAATAAGATACTAATATGGTTTTTGGAAACTCACAAATTTTTGATTCCCGAACAATCCGTATTTCGCCCATCCAGAAGCATACTTGATAACATTATTGATCTAGAACGTTATATTCACGAAGCATTTGCTATTAAAGATAAATGTCTAGCAATTTATTTTGATATTAATGAAGCGTTTTACTACATGCCATACAATAATAGAAATATAATAAATTTCATATGCATTTTTTTTTCTCGAAGAGAATTCCAGGTTCGCATTTCCGGTACAATATCTTTAACCAAGACACCAAAGAAATGGCACCCAACAGGGTCCATTCTGAGCCCGTTATTTTTAATTGCTATGAATGACGTCTTAAAAGACTTAACTAAACTACACCTTATGTACATATAAATTTTTTGGGTATGATATATATTTATTTTTAGCATGTCATGCTAAAAGGCTTTAAATTTATTTTATTTTTTTTGTATGGAAACAAGGAGAGAGGGTATAAAGTGTAATACTTCCCGTAATTCTTTTTATGGTAATTTGTGGCAGTAACTATGAAGCAGCATGGTAGGTTTTGTAGGGGCTATAAGCACATAGTTCAATAATTAGAATATGTATAATGTGTAGGTAGTACTCGAAAAAAACTCCGCCTCTGGTAGTTACTAGGTGAAGTGAATAGCTCTTGAACTATCAATGCCAGTCCCAAGCCCGGATAAAGGAGGAGGGTTTTCGTCAGGAAGAGCATCCGGCAGTAAAAACGGTGCTAAAACACTGGAAAGGAGGAATGTGAAAAGTTTAAAGGCGGCGTTCCCCGTAAGCGCCGCGCAGTTGTGCCTTCGCCTAACCCTGCGAAAAGGGTAACCAGAAGAAGTGATAGAATAATGAGTGTCCAACTGAATACAGGCAGTACCACCTTCAACATCATATGTGCCTACGTCCCACAGGTAGGATTTGAATGGTTATATTGGTACAAAAAAAGCGGGAATAGAAAGAGTTCATGGAAGTTTGGAAGACTGAAGACCAGTATGTTACCTGTAGTATCGGGGGAATAAAAAGATAGAGTAAATGACTGGTGGGAAGCCAACAGTAAAGTTGTTGTGCAAGTGGTGATAGGAAAACATCTGGTAAAGGGCCTCATAGAGACAAAGAAACTTGGTGGTGGAACGATAGGGTGCAAAAGAGAAGAAAGTGGATAGAAAAGTTATGAAAAGTCTAAAAGAGAGGAAGATAAGAATATATACAAGGTGGCAAAGAGGGAAGACCAGAGGAGAGACAGAGGATGCGCCAGAGGAGAGATAGAGGAGGCGGGATCCCAAATGAGAATGTAATTCCGGGGATAGCAATAGATACAGTTGTTAAGGCATTAAATAAGATGAAGAACGGTAAGGCAGTAGGACCTGATGGAGACTCTAGGAGAGGCTGATATTTTGTGACAAATGATGAGTAGGATATATGAGGAAGAAAGGATTGCCCAGTGTATGGATAGTGTGATAGTATCATTGTATATAAAAAAGGGGACATTCAGGAGTGTAAGAACTATAGACTGTATCCTACACAATGATAATTTTGGAGAAAACTGTAGAGCAAATGTTAAGCAGAGAAAGGAGAGATACATTGATAGGAGAAGAACAGTTTGAGCTTATTCCAGAGGGGAGGACAACGGATCTCTTGTTTGCGTTGACAGTTGATAGAGAATACTGCGAGAAGAAAATAGAGCTACATTTGATTTTTATAGATCTTGAGAAGGCGTTGACAAGGAATGGTTGAGGACGTAGAATTGCTTGGAGAAGAGCTAGGATGAGTAGGAGAATTTAAATACCTTGGCTACTACATAACGAAAATGGGACACTAAATCGAGAAATTGCCCACAGGATACAGGCTGGTTGGTTTAATTGGAAGCGAATGAGCTTTGTGATCGAAAAATCGGGAAGAATTGAAAGGAAAGAGTGTAGTGAGATCTGCGTTGCTGTACGGCGGTGTAATGTAGTCTGTAAAGAAGATCCAGAAAAAGAAGATGGATGTAGCTGAAATAAAAATTTTACGGTGGATGTTGGGTAAGACTAGAAGACTGCAAAGGTCTGGTCATGTCAAACGTAGAGATGAAAACTATGTGGGGACAAGGATAGAGCCTTTAGAAGTTCATGGAAAAAGAGGTAAAGGAAAACCGAAAAAATGGAAGGACTGTATGACAGAGGACTTGAGAGAAAAAGGTTTGTACGGATAAGACCCGATGAACAGAAATGAATGGCGACGAAAAGTAAATAATAGCGACCCCTGAAAACAAAAAAGCTGAGGAAGAAGAAGTATGTCATCAACAAAATTTATGATCACCTTCATTAATTCTCTCAAAATATAGAAGAACTCCTACCGAGGACTATGGAAGTTTTGAGGTCAATAACTCCAGTTTACCTTATTTTAATGGTTATATAAAAATATACGTATCTTACTAGCGACCATCTGGTATAATACTTTCTCAGAGTTCCAACTACATCACAGGCGACTGGATTATTTCCTAACACAGGTGCTCACAGGACACGGGTGTTTTAGGGCCTACCTCTCTAGGTTCGGAAAGTCTGACACAGATGAACCCATACTGTGGATACTCGGACACTGTGACTCATACGATGTTAGAGTGCAACAGACGGGTAGTAGAAAGGAACAGAATGGAAAGAGAGACAGGTTTGAATTTTGTTACAGGAGAGAAATGATTGAAAATAACGCAGATTGGACTAGTGTATACAACGGTATCCGTGCAGTGATCAAGAAAAAAGAAGAGGAAAAAAGACAGATGGACTAGCAAAGGTAAGAAGGAAAAGTACTGGAAGTTAACTGTATGAGTTAGACTGTGCGAGTCAGGAGGAAATGCTCGTCTGATAGTGTTGCCGTACTAGGAGCGATGAGGATCTTCCACGCGCTACCTGGAACGAAACAGAGAGTCTCCTTGCTGGCAGTCTGTGGATGAATGAAGGTAGTGCTTCGGAAGCGATAGCGGCCTACAGCGGCCATTCCGCTTCCGGATCGAACAAATCTATTAATAAAACAAATAGATAAAAAAAAACGTGAGCTGAATATGAGGTCGTCAGTTGCCTGAAGGAAAGGCACAGATCGAAATCTAAAAGTGTCATACAACCCGAAATCCGCGAGTTTTCTAGATCCGCTTAAATGGTTGATGCCGACTTGACATTTTACACAAATAAATAAATTTACTTACACATTATTAACGACATCTTTCGAAAGCTTAGTTGTGCCATTTTCTTGTTCTTCTATCTTTGTACCATTAATTTTATCTTCTACTTCACCTTTTATATCATCAGATTTATTTTCGTCAGCGCTCTAAAAAAAAATTCTGTTAAAAAGTGATAAAACTTATACTCTACATATTGATATCATTTTCTGGTACATGTAAAATAATACATAATACATCTATACCTTGGTAGAAAAAGGGCCAATGTCTAAAATGTGCTATGAGTTAACATCACTACTAAAATAGGTCAATTTGATACATTTATCAGAAAGAAGCTAATGTCCAAATATATTTAGTTTTCTAGTTAATTTTATCATAATTTGGCCTAAGTCCATTTCCATTAAAATGAAAAGAGGCCAATAGGTGCAGATAAGAAACGCTGTACAGCTAAAATGTTTATTATTTTACGAAGTATAATTAAATCATTATACTGTCAATAGGCCTATTGCTATTTAGTTATAAATTATTTTTGTTGCTTAATATACATCGATACATTTTTGGCAAAGTAACGTAAGTCCTAAACACGATTGTAGAAAAAACAATTTTTTAATTCAACCTGGTAAAACTTATTTCAATTATGACTGAAAAAACTTGTCCTACTTGTCCTAAAAAAGGTTTAAAGTAATTCTAGGCTTACTACACTTTGGCAGTACCTTTTTAACAATAATAGTGTAAGTTTAATTGAAAAACATGATTTTCGCCAAAAATGTCACTTACGTTACTTTGCCAAAAATGTATCGACATGTTAAAATTTTTTTTTTATACACTTATGTTCTTTACGACAGCTTTAAGTAAATTAAAAAATTGTCCTTTTTCTGTTCTACATTAATCTATATTTGATTATAAAAATAAATGATGCGCCCATGTCTGGTAATTATGATATTATTCTTTTGTTTGTCGGCAACCAGTTTTTTGGGTGTTTCAACTGACTTTATAAATACTATACCTATATGGAGTCTAGAGTAACTGTAGTTAGCCCTAGACTCTAGCACAGATCAGAGGCAATGTAAGTCGACAATATTTCACCAGCTCCTGGGGGACATGTTAAATGCCCCCAGTTGTAGTTTTTATTAATTACAGAAATTGATGGTCTATTACATTTACCTTTGTAAATTCCACGAGGATTTTTTATTACTGATGTCCTTCTAGTGTTTTTTATTTATGTGGGCAAATAATGTTTTTAACAACTTTTTATTAAACTGATGATGAAATGATTTAATTCCGAAAAGATCTTTTTTAAATAAAGTTTTAAGCTTTTAATAAGCATTTTTTTATACCTTGATATACACGAACACCAGGTGCTTCTAAGTTTTCTCTTTACTTTTCTATTTTTGTGGAAAATTCATGATTCACGTTTTAGGTATTTTCTAACAAGGAAGAATTTTTTGGGGAGCAAAGTACTAAAGAAATAACACTAAAGGAAATTCCCTTTGAGGTAATAATTTAATTCATAAAATTAATTGATTACAAAAAAGCTTTTGTTGGTAGGTAGGTATATTATTATTTACCTACTGACAAAAATTACCACATTATGGCCTAGAAGAAATAGAGCATGTTCCTGAGAGTGATGATGATTCATTTCGAGAACCTGATTATGCGCCATCAGATATTTCAGGTGGTGCAGAATACCCGGATACAGCAGATTTTAAGGTAATTGATAACGAAATGTTTTAAGATAAAAAAAAAGACACCAAGAAAAGATAGGACAAGGAAGCGAATGAGGAATAGTAAATCCTGGAAGGAAAATAAAAGAAGAGAACTGAAAGAGAAAGGGAAAGAGTATGTATCTAAAAAAGGAGTTATTAAAAAGGAAAAGCAAATGAAACGTCCATGTGATTGTCGGAAAAAATGATATCAAAAATTCACTGAAGAACAAAGAAAAATATTGTTTGAAGGTTTTTATAATTTATCAAAAGATGGACAAGATCAGTTTATAGCAGAAACCGTCAAAGAAACGACAAAAGGAAGAACAAGAATTAGAAAGGAAAGTGAAAAGTCTGACGGCATTAACCGGAGGAAATTTACCATAAGTTATTTTTTTTTAACAACTGATGAAAACGAGTCTATTGAAATATGTCAAGCGATCAAACGTTTGATTTAACTTTAAAAAAGTAAGGACAATTGTCGAGAAAGAAATGACTAGTCAATCTAATATCTGCCCAATGGATGACAGAGGAAAGCATTCCAAACATTATAAAATCCAGGAAGATAGAAAAGATGTGATTAGAAAGCACATCAATAGTTTTCCGGCTTATAATAGCCACTATTCCCGGGAACGTACTTCCAAAAAATACCTAAGTCCTGATCTTTCAGTGAAACAAATGTATCAATTTTATTGTGAATATTGCAGAAATAATAATATAAACCATGAACAGGAGCCAATGCATCGAAAAATATTCAATGAAGAATTTAATCATTCTTTTCACGGTCCTGCAAATGACACTTGTGCTAAGTGTGACCAGTAAGTCTAAGAAGTATGGAAAATAAGCAACTAACTAAGAAGAAGAGGAACGGGGAAGCTTTTACTTGAGAGGGAACAACATTCAGATTTAGCTGAGAGTGCTTATAAGCAAAAGTCGTTAGACAAAAAACGAAGCAAAATAGACCAAACATTTGTGGTTGCTTCTTTTCACTTAGAAAAAATGTCTACCAACCCTATTTCTCGGGAATGGTGTTTCGTTTTATAAAAGGCAACTACTAACATGGACATACAATTAACTGTGGTTGAGACTACTACAGCAGGCAATGTGGGAATTTGTTTCCTATGGAACGAGAGCCCTGATTTCCCTGGTCGTCAGCCAGCGAAATCCCTACGGCCTAAAAAAGGAAGCAAGTTCTCAACACCTAAGGATTGGAACTTGGAATGTACGAAGTATGTACGAGAGCGGCAAAACTCATAATATTGTAAAAGAAATGAAAAGATTAAAAATTGATATATTGGGAATTAGTGAAACACACTGGCAAAACTCTGGACAATGCGATATACTTGGATATAAAGTTTACTATGCTGGAAACAACACAAAACATCACAGAAACGGCACTGCAATAGTAGTTGCCCCACATATTAATTCGGCAGTAAAATCTTTCACTCCCCATTCAGATAGAATGATGCTTTTACAAATTCGAGCAACACCGGTGGATATTAATATATTACAGGTATACGCGCCAACGGCAGATAAAGATGAGGCAACCAGCGAAGAATTCTACGAACAACTGGGAAGCCTGATGAAAATGACAAAAAAACATGAAGTAACAATAGTGATGGGAGATTTCAATGCAAAGGTTGGCAGAGGCAAGGTGAATGAGATCGTGGGAAACTTCGGCCTAGGGGAGAGAAACGATAGAGGTGATAGACTTATATGCTTCTGCCAGGAATATAACCTGCTGTTAAGTAATACACTCTTCAAGCTCCCCAAACGTCGACTTTACACATGGAAATCCCCCGCTGACTCACCTGACAACATCATTAGAAATCAGATAGATTATATAGCAGTACCAACAAGATATAAAAACATGATAAAATCATCAAAAACGTACCCAGGTGCCGATGTTCCTACGGACCACAATGTGTTGGTATGCAGAATGGTCATGAGAGTAAAACGGCTCGAGAAAAGATCTAATTTAAACACAATCGATGTTAAAAACTCACTAACCCAGAAACCGAAATAAAAGTACGAGAACAACTAGGAAAGAAAATAAAGGACATTAACGAGAACACGTCGGACATAATAGAGAGATGGGATAAATCGAGGAAAGCAATCCAAACAACATGCGCGACTCTATTAAAGCGTGACCGACGAAAAAAGAAAGAATGGATGTCTGATGGGATAATGGATATGATGGATGAAAGACGTAAATTCAAGAATAAAAATGCAGAAAAATACCAGCAGATCCACAAAACCATAAGAACGAAAATTCGAGAAGCCAAAGAAAAATGGTTTTCCAACGAATGCAGGGAAATAGAACAATACGAACGAAAATACGACAGTTACAATATGCACAAAAAAATAAAATCGATGACAAACAAGAGGAAATTCAATAAGTCACCCAACAGCATAAAAGATAGCGATGGAAATCTTATCTCGGAGCCATCAACGATCTTAAAAACATGGAAATCATACATAGAAAAATTATTTGCATCTAACAGGACTGATGATCACCTATATGGAGAAGGAGAAACAGGACCTTCAATTCTTAAATCGGAGATAGAAGATGCCATTGCAGCACTAAAAAACAATAAGTCAGCAGGTCCGGACAATGTACCCTGCGAAATATTAAAGATCCTATGTAAATCAGACAAACAGTTCCTTGATAATCTAGTTGTACTTTTTAACAACATATAATAGCGGTAAAATCCCGGAGAACTGGCTACAGTCAACATTTATTACAATCCCGAAGAAACCAAATGCCCAGATTTGTGATGACTACCGGCTTATAAGCTTGATCAATCATGTCACTAAAGCGTTCACTAAGATCATTCACAGAAGAATATATGATAAATGTGAGTCAAATATTGATAGATCGCAGTTTGGTTTTCGGAAAGCACTTGGAACTAGAGAAGCAATTTTCGCTCTCCAGGTGCTTATACAACGGCGTAGAGACGTTGATAAAGACGTGTATCTGTGCTTTGTAGATTTTAGAAAAGCATTTGACAATGTCAATCATGAACAATTGATAGGTATTCTGCGAAAGACAGGTATTGACGACAAGGACATTCGAATTGTGGCAAACCTATACTGGGGTCAAACAGCAAGAGCAAAAATTGGCAACGAACTCACTGAAAGCGTGCAGATCAAAAGAGGTGTCCGTCAGGGGTGTATATTATCCCCACTCCTATTCAATATGTATTCCGAGGAAATATTTAACAAATGTATGGAAAATGCAAATGAGGGCATTAAAATAAACGGCGAGTTAACGAACAATATAAGATACGCCGACGACACGGTGATCCTTGCCAGTACCATAGACGAATTACAACAAGTAATGGAAAGACTTTATTCAGTTAGTGAGGAATACGGCCTGAGCCTCAACTTCAAGAAGACAAAGTGGATGCTGATAAGCAAAAAGCAACAACCTGCTCGACAATTACGGATAAGTAACATATTAATTGACCATGTAGAATCTTATGTGTACCTTGGCACCAACGTAAATGCAAAATGGGAACAGACCATAGAAATTAAGGCGAGAATAGAACGAGCTAGAGCAGCATTTAGCAATATGAAAAAGCTCCTCATAAGCAAGGATTTGTCTCTTCCCCTAAAACTACGTATAGTTAAATGCTACATTTTTCCGATCTTGCTGTATGGCGTGGAGGCCTGGACGCTGACGGAGACGCTAACGAGAAAACTAGAAGCTTCGAAATGTGGGTGTACCGACGCATTCTTCGTATATCCTGGACCGAACATGTCACCAACATAGAGGTACTCCAAAAAATCGGAAAGGAGAAAGAAATCGTGAATACAATTAAACAAAGAAAGCTTGAATATCTAGGCCACATATTGAGACACGATAAGTACCGTCTGCTACAATTGATTGTCCAGGGAAAAATAGACAGTAAGCGAGGGCCAGGCAGGAGAAGACACTCGTGGCTCCAAAATCTGCGGAAGTGGTTCGGGCTCACATCGGTCGAACTATTCAGAAGCGCCGCAAACAAGATCAAAATTGCCATGTTAATAGCCAACGTTCGCAACGGACAGGGCACTTGAAGAAGAAGATGGAACGAGACAGTGAAACGAGGTCGTGGTGGGCAAGAAATAGCTTCATGTATAAGAAAATTCATTTTGTCGCTACCAATAGAGGAGAAATGCTTCATTTGTACAGTGATTCTTGTTCTGGCCAAAACAGAAACATTTTTGTGTCCACAATGATATTATTAGTGATGCGTGAGATGAAGAAAATAAGAAAAAGTTTGAAAGAGGTACATTATAAATTTATGGAACCTGGCTATACCCATATGGAGGCCGACACAATTCATGCGGCCATAGAGACAGCTAAAAAAAAGACAAAATCTGAATTCCTTCCACATGATTGGAGTAATTTCATAAAAAGTGTACGGAAGACTCTTCTCCTTCAAGTTTTAGAGACGGAACAAAAAGATTTTTAACATCGTAAAAGGAATGATGATGGAGAAGCTGTACCGTGGATGCAAATAAAGTGCTTAAAATACACCCAAGAACGTGAGTTCCAATGTTTTCACAAAAAAAGTTTTGCGGATGATGAAGCTTTTAGAAAAATTTATTTAAGGAGGGGTTCTACTAGAAATCGAAAAAACGAAATGGAAAATGAGCAACCAGAACCCATTCATTCGGAACCTTTGCCTCTAGCCGACATTAAAGTAAACAATTTGTTGGATTTACTACCTTACATTAGTGAATACAACAGGCCATTTTATCAAAATCTTCAAAAATCAAATGACATCGTTGCTGACACTATTTCAGTTCCAGACACCAACGACGAAGATAGGGTTTAATTTAATTTCTTTTGTATTTTGTATGTTATAAAATAAAGAATTTTCTTGCAATGAAGCTTGGCATTATGTTAATACATATTTAAAAAAAAAACACCCCAATATTTTATAAACTGATAAGATATTTGCATAAACAACATACACCAAACCTGTTAACCCAATTTTCTCCAAACAAAAAAAAATGGACATTGGCCCTTTTTCTATTAAGGTACAGACATATCACTCCCGTTTATAAACAATTTTTGCCACAAAGATGCTTACCTGTGGGGTAGCGTTCTTCCCCCTTGTTCTTGACATAATGGCTTCGACTCTCTTTCTGCGAGCTTCTCTCTCTTTTTCCTCATTTTTGAGTCTTTCTTTTAATTCAGCCTTTTGTCTTTCGGCGTCTTCTTTAGCTTTTTTCTCGGCTTCTTCTTTTAATAACTTTAATCTCAGTTCTTCTTCCTTCTTAAGCCTTTCTTCTTCCTCGCGTCTTTGAGTCTCCTTAATGGCCTAAAAATATTCCAAATAGAACATGGTAAAATAATTATTTTATGTAACTCACCTCTTGCAATCTTTCTTGTTCCGTGTGTCTCTGTAACTCTATTAATTCCCTTATTTGTTCCTCTTCCCTCTGTTGTCTTTCTATTTCTGCTTTGGCTTCTGCCTCAATCCGTAATCTCTCTAACTCGGCTTGTCTCTCAGCTTCCTCTCTAATCAGTCTTCGTCTTTCTGCAAGCGCAGCTTTAGCTTCCTCCTCTGTATTAATACGAACCTTCGTCATGGAAGTCGTCATTTCGTTCTCGATATTTTCGATAGTATTACTATCTACAACTGTTTGAGCCTCGGACGTGGATTCTGGCTTCTTAGGTTCTACTGGCTTCTCTTGTAAAACAGGTTCTGATTTCTCGTCTACAGAACTAATTTCGACTTCTTGTGATGTATGTGATTCATCAACGCTAAGCTGCACCTGCTCAGACTTTTGTATCTCTGTTACATTTGTATCACTCGTTTCAGTTTCACATGTCTTTACTGTCTCTATTACATCCTTTTTGTCTTTCTCTATTACATCATTTTTGTCTTTCTCTATTACATCCCTTTTCTCTTTCTCTATCACATCCTTTTTCTCTATCTCCATTACATCCTTTTTCTCTTTCTCTATTACTTCCTTTTTGTCTTCTAAATCAACCAGAATTGGTTCTGTTTTGTCATTAGCTTTTTCTAATTTTTTAACTTGCGGAGATTCCAAATCACTCTTGGTAGTTTGAGGCACATGGACATTCGATTCGCTGAAACATAAATATAATAAATGATTACAATTGATGTTGTATAAAATATAACCTTCCAGTTAATTTTTCACATAAATTATGCTCAAGTGGAACTTGCAACCTCTTGAACACGTCACTAGGTGGCGGATAGCCACTTAACCTATTTGGACCAGCGGGAAGGTGGAAAATAAAATATAACATGAAGTAACAGGGGGGTAGGTAGGTCTGTAAATAAAGCAGCATACTTAAGAGACCAACAATCTTGGCCTTCCAGTTACGAGGTAACAAGGTTCGAGCATCGGGCTAACTCTTCGATACTCGGAAAAAACATAATGTTAAAAAACCAATTCAATTGCTTTAGGATAGAAACAAGGAAATTATACATATTGAGTGTATAAGAACTACCATAAACTAAATGGGACTTAGTAGATAAAATGCTAGTCAAATTCACACTTAGAGTGCAGTACGTCTTAAGGCCCGTTTTAACGCTACGTCTTATTGTACGTTTTGTTGGTCATATAAAACGTACGACAAAACGTACGTTTTGTCCAGTGTATACATACTACGTTTTTCCTTCCGACAAGACGTACGTTTTGCTGTTTACACGCCACGTTTTATTGTATAGGATTTGTCCTATCCAACAAAACGTACAATAAGACGTAGCGTGAAAACGGGCCTTAAGAGAGTGCAATGCTATTCTTACGGAGAATGAATGCACAGAGTTGTCTGCCTTCGCGAACTGTTGGTTGCTCACTTAAGAGTGTCGCACAGGACCATCACAGATAAAATGTATCTCCCGGCAGTACGAGTATAATATTTTATATTATAACAATATTAGAAATACTAAGATTTCCTATTTGGCGAAACTTAATTCAAATTTTTACCACTGCGCTTTCTTAAACTTGTAAAACAGACATATTTATAAATTATGTCGAAGGGAATCTATAATTTGCATTCCACATGTCGTTCATCACGTCAAAAATTTTAGTGAACAGCCTCTGCATATGGCGCTCTGATGATGAAGGCCCTGCAATGAAATTGAATCTAAAACCGTCTTTCTATTTTATATTGTTTACAGTAGAATAAGCTAATAGAAAAATCCACCCACAGCAGATTCTAGATATCGGAACTTTAAACTCAGCACACGCAGGGAGTGAACACAAACCAGTACTAGCAAAAATAAGAATGAAAATATCACCAAAACATTTTCTAGAGGAACTCACCGAGGAAACATTCAATGTGGAATCACTCTAAGACAAATGTACCAAAGGAGGCTAGCACAGAAGATACAGCTGAAACAAATAGACGACATCGAAGATATAAACGCGAGCTGGAAGAAAATTAAAAACAACATTGAAGAAGCAGCAACAGAAGCTCTAGAAAAAACGCAAAGTCATACTAAACAAAAGAAACAACAACAATACACGATGGTTCAGAAAAGAAATAAAAGAGAAATGTAAAGAGAAACGAGAGGCCTACACGAAGTAGAAAACATCAAATACTCCAGAATCCTGAGAGACTTGGTAAAAAGAACAGAACAGAAAGCAGTTGGTAAAAAGAAAAAAAAAATGAACACTGGGAAGAGTTTACAAAAAGAAAACCACTTTTTTTTTAATGGCTTTGGCATAGCCAATTGACCAGTTCTACGGTACACAAAAACAAATATGGAGATTCATAAGAAACCAACGGAAAGAAATGGCAGAATTGAAGGAATACAATAACATACCAGCAAACGAATGGGAAAAGACACCTGACGGAACTGTTTAAAGGTAAGGAAAATAATAATCAACACAACAACGTACCTGAATTAAGACACGAAATAGAAAAGTTTTCAGGAAGTAGAGATAGCTTTAAATTTACTTAAAATTAGAAAGTCGCCAGGACCAGACGGAATAACCAACAAGCTTCTAAAACACGGAGGAGAAAGTATAACCCTAGAGATGACAAATACAAAAACTAATATTGTACTGCAAGATAAAGGATGCGTCTTGTCTCCGACGCTTTTCAACGTGTACTCTCAGGTCATGTTCAGAAAAGCCTTATGAGAAAGAAAAGAGGGAATAAGAATTGGTGGAGAAATCGTAAACACCATCAGATTTGCAGATGGCACAGTAATTATGGATGAGAGTATAGAACTACAAACTTTACTAGATGCAATAAATAGTGAATCCATTCAAATGGGACGACATCAACACAGATAAGACCAAATTTATGTAGCATCAAGGAGTCCAATAAATAATGAACAACCAACCCTTGGCGGACAGCAGATAGAGCGAGTGACAAAATATAAATATCTGGGAGCTTATATCAACACAGAATTATATCCAGACCAAGAGATCAGGGTACGAAGAGAAATGGCAAGGGAAGCGTTCTTAAAATTCAAGCAATTGTTCTGTGACAAAAATCTGAATACTGCGCAGAGACTGAGGTTTACTGAAAATTACGTCTAGTCCCAATTATTGTACGGGGTAGAAAATGGACGTTAAAAGCGCAAATAGTTAAGAAGATTGAAGCCTTTCAACCTTGGATATATCGGAGAATGTTGAGAATTCCATAGACTACCAGGGTCACCAATGAGGAAGTGCTGAGAAGGGTGGGTCGAACAAAAATTGTTGAGAACAATAAAAGTATGCAAGACTGCATACCTTGGACACATACTGAGGAATGGTAAATATAGTCTTCTGCAGGTCATCATGCAGGGTAGAGTCGATGGCAAAAACGGAATAGGTAGAAAGAGGAAGTCATGGCTGCGAAATATTCGAGACAGGATAAACATGACTGTGATGAATTATTCCACGTTACAAAAAACAGAGAAACTTTTAGAAATGTGGTCGCCAACCTCCGTTGGCATGGGTGACAAAACGGAAACGTGGAACGAACACATTAGTAGAATGGCAGAGGATAGGATAGTACGAATAGCACGAGATAAGTCATCAAATGGACGAAGAAGTATTAGCAGACCAAGAAAAAGATGGTGCGATTAATTAAACAATTTAGGAGGTTAATTATTGAGGATGAAACAGACTTTAAAGTCTACATACAAGAAGGAAGAAGTTTACAGTAGAATAAAAAAGCATTGTAAAAATTGTAATAATTGTAATACTCCACGAAATGTATAAATAGCTTGGAAAGTATTAATTTTTTTTTCGAAGTTTTGCATTTGAAGCAGCGAACCTTTTATACAAAGCTCGAATAGTTTCAAGGTAGATTTAAGAAATTAACAAAAATTGTGAAAATATGTACAAATATGTAGTGATATCAAAAAATTAATCATATCGTTTACAAGTGTAACCTTAATGATATCTTAAGGTATAATATATATACCTAAGCATAATACCCCTACAAATATTGCTCGATTTACGCAAAATTGAATAATATTCGTAAGAGTAACATTTCTTTTGGAAAATTTTCGCTGCAAATTACTGGCATGGGCGAAAGTGCCTTTGGAAAACGAAACAAAACTTCAGTATTTAGTCCTACTTTGAGCAGAGAGCATGGAGTCTCATAAATTTAAACCCGGTGAATCATTAAACGGTTACGCTAAATTGGTGTTGAATGTTTTGTATTTTTTTACAAAGTACGGAACAACTTAATGTGAGTGCTGCTTTTAAGACGAACTTCGCTGAATACTGGTGTTAGCGAAAGAAGCATTTACAATATCAAAGAAGACAAAGAACAATGTGGAACATTGAAATCGGCAAAAAAAACGTAAAATTTGGGGGGCAAGTCAAACTAATTCTAGAATATTCACATATGACGGGATTGTAAGAAGTTCTCTACGGAGAATTTTTAATTGGGAATTTTTTATAAAAATTTTGCCGCAATGCTTAAAGCGATATAACTTTATACAAGTGGACGTAAAAAACACCGGGGTTAACATCAAAAAGATCGAAAAGACAGCACAAGGAGAGAAAGTTCAGGAAAGGCTAGTACATACTAATAAACAACGTTGACCAAACATTGGAAGATGGACTCAAAAGGGCGCTGGCAAACTGTGGGATCAAGAGAGGAAGTAGGATCAATTGAAATCTGCAACACGAAATAGGGACGGTTTGGGGGAGATACGGTAGTAGTCAAAGCTAGTAGAACAGCGACTGACATACTGGTGCGGCAGAGAAATGTCCTGATAGGACCGGTGAACTGTAAGGTAATGACACCCAGATATCGACCAATACGCTTCTACTCGTGTCTACTTTTCGGGCATACCAGAGAAAAATGCAAAGAAAGGACTTTACTTAAGAGACAAATGTCTGAACTGCTGGAAGGTAGGGCACAGCGCTAGGAAGTGCACAACAATACGCCACAATGAGGAATCTACAGCAGAGGACCACAGAACAGAATCGGAAAATTGTCCTGAGTTCAGGAAGCTCGTAGCCGAAAAAGACTAGGGGAAGAGGCGTAAGTACGTCGGTAGTAGAAAGTTTTAACTCTACTAGGAATGAATTTAAAGGGTTGATAGTGGTGCAGGTGAATTTGGGGAGACGTAGGGTGGCACAATATGCTCAAGATCAGGAGACAGGAATTAAAAGCGGACCTGTTGCTAGTGTCCGAGCCAAATAAAAATATTACTGCCAAAGAAGGCTGGATCACGGACAAAAGGCAAGATGTAGCAGTTTATATTAGAAACAAAGAGCTGGGGGTAAAAACTTGCCAGAGGAAACAGAGATTACTAATATTGGATCTTGGAACTGTCACAATAGTGGTGATATATATATATATCTCCCCTGTCCCCTAATATCACACTACGAGAATATAAGAGTCTGGTAGAGAAAATAATAGAAAGCATAGCAGGAAAAAGACTAATCGTTGCTGGGAATTTGAATGCAAAATCTATTTCATGGGGAGCAGCAAAAAATGATGAGAGGGGAGGAATGTGGAATGAGATCATCCAGGCCCTAAATTTGGTAGTACGGTAAGGTGACCTTCGTCAAGGGAGAAGGGCTGCCACATATCGACGTCACCTGATCAATAATGTATAAAGCGAACCGAGCGCTCATACTGGCGGCCGAGAAGACTAAAGCTATAATCCTCAAGGGTCCAAGGGCCAGAGACCATGTAGTTTTGCACTGAAAGTGAAGTACTTGTGGGTAGTCCTAGATACGAGGCGAACCTTTGGTGAGAACGTGAAATATTTCGTTTGCAAAGAGATATTTTTAAGATACCTTAATACAAAATTGACCAAATAATTCCAAAGATTTCCTAACAATTCCTGGAATAAAGTTGCAATCAAGGATTGGTTAGTGGAAATAGACATTTTTTTGAGGAGTACTATTTGAAATCCGAGCAATTAGAAGTAGTATAGTATAATCTTGATGAATATGTTACTAAACATAATGTTTCTATTTTTAGGCTTCCTTCGTACCATTACGAATTAAATCCTATAGAAATTGCGTGTAACCAAGTTAAGCAATATGTAGCTACCCATAATACCATTTCTAAAAATGAAGAGGTGAGCCAGTTAGTCGACTAATGTTTTTTTCAATAAAGGAAAAAATGCCCGATGATATCACTCATGTCGTTAAAAAACGGAAACTGAGAAGTGGACCGCGGACAAACTGTAAGGAACCTCGATTATTCTATAACCAATGAAAAACATTATCAGTTGAATCACGAGTATCAGTTTTTCGGGTATTGCGTTTGGTCCACAGAAATCGAGTATTTTTGGATATTTTTCCGTTGGAAAGTGAATGTTATTTGATTTGAACTTCGAATGTGCTGCTGGTAAATAGTCTAAACTCCGTGTGAAAAAGAACTTTATTTTTATTTGAATTAACGCAATACATGAATATATGACGGTTGACATCTGCCCGCCAATTTGTATTGTTTCGTTTCGCACTTCGTCGGTCCCGTATCTTGTCTATGTGCTCTCGCCTTGCTATTTCTCTTCGTGACTCGTCTTCAATCTTCGCAAGTGACATGCAGACACTGCTACGTTGCCGTATCGTAAAAATGCATGAGATTAACTTAAACCATATGATTGCGTGAAAAGAAAGCTCTAGATAGCTTATGAAAAGTTGAAATACGAAGCGTTTCGCTCTAACTCAAACCACGCCAAGCACATGGCGTGAAATTCTGCAAATACACATTCGTATCTTAATTGTACTGCATTCTCAGTGTGATTTAACTAATATATTATTAGTCGCAAAACAGTTAGTGTGAATGAGTTTTTCATTGCATTGGAAATGGGAAAAAAAAAAAACGTTTTCAAATTTTTTTTTCAAAAATCTCTCGAATGACACCAAACATGACTCCACACACCCACGCCTTGGCCAAATAGAATGGCTTCCGAAGAAAAAAATGAACTACGGAAAAATTAATAAAATATATAAAATGATCTAAAACTCAAAATATACGAATCTAAATATAAAATGTAACTTACATATCTCCTGTTACTAACTTAGGTTCGGTTAGGACATGGGTTTCTGGCTTTGGTGCTACTTGAGGTTTTTCAGATTTATTTACTTTAGTTGTGTTATTAGAAGAACTATCTACTCGTGTCTTTGTTTTGCTTTTAAGCACAACATTTTCGCTGGTTGTCGGTTTCGCAATAAGTTTTTTCGTCTTCGGAAGTGGTGGTTTATTATCGCCTTTTGCATCACTTGAAATTCCAGTCCCGGCAATACTCACTGGTCTTGGCTTTCTCGGAGCTGTTGTCAAACGGTGTCTGACACTCGCCGAACTGGCCAAACTGGTTGTGCTTTGTTGACTGAGGGAACTACTTGGTCGAGATGATGCTGCAGAATATGATTAATTAATAAAGTTCTAAATTTGTATTAAATAATGGATAAAGCAGTAAAATAATGTTAATATTAGGAGCATTCAATATTCCACATGTCAGATGATTTATTAAATGGTTAAGTCATTAGTAAATTTTTATAAATTACTATGTGATATAGCAAGCTAACTATTTTTAAATATTAATCGAGTATAAGAAGATGGTTGTTATATTTATAAAACTGAATATACTGTATATTTGCATTTAAATCAATAGTCGAATTATGTACTGTAGATTCTTATTGGCAGACCAGCATTTAATTGGTAAAGATAATTCATAATGTCGTGAACCTGACGTAATCATTTAGTGACGTCGATCTACGACCGAAACAACGAAATTAGGCATTTCTAAAAACATGCCGTTCTCTTCAGTATGTTATCGTAGCCAGACAGAGATGAACTAGTTTTTGCGTTAGTGAAATAGCTTTAATATTTTAATTTTTTTTGTGAACAATCATTTTTAATATTTTATCATTTTTTTGAATCATTCTGAATAAAAAAGATTAATTGTAATTTGTCTCTAAAGTTGATCGTTTTCAACTTATACAATTTAAAACTGAAAAAAAAAACGAACAATGATGATTTTTAATTCACAAAAACACACAATTTTTTTGAATTCATCGAAATTTGTTCTATCAGTTTCTGATACTTTAGTTTGGCCTATTTGATTTTAAAACATTGTGTTTAGTTGTTTAAGGCCCTTATCTCAACCTAAAAATGGATTTATACAAAACTGTTTAATAAATTAGGACCACTTTTGTATGGGCGACCTCTTGAATATTATTCTGCTGTCTTTTATGAAAGTAATTATGCAAAATACACTCACCGGTAAAATTAACGGAACACCTTAAAAATGGGACATGTTAGATGACTCGAATTTCCTAAACCTGTTGTCCGATTTTAGTGATTTTTTTAGTATGTTATAGGTATATTATTTAAGAATATCAATGAAATAATATTGTTGCTAGACAGGTCAATGTCATTTTATACCGGGTGAAACAATCATACTGTGTTTTTTCCTTAAAGTTCGAAACACCCTGTGGAATATTCTAGCATATATAAAATATTGAAATTAAAGCTCAATTATAGTCTCAGGCTTTCTTAACATTTTCTTTTTTGATTCATTTGCTTGTGTTGAATAATAAAAAAGCTAGGTACGTTAACAACTAGCCATGTTTTTCATCAATAAATGCTCATTGTCTTCTTAGTTTCACCAGCATATTTAAAGGAACAACCATAAAATCTGAGTATTTTCTCTCTAGTCTATATACTGTTTAGATAATATCATAATACGAATGTTGGTGAAGTATTTTGAATTTATATTACAATGGTAGTACAATATAAAACCTGTTTAAGAAGAAATAAAAAACAAAGATGTCAGACTCAACAAAATACGGATTTTAAACGCATTAACTTTATTGTACAGTTTGAACTTAAATTGGTTTTTTATGCATTTTTTTTGACTTTAATAGCGTGTGTTACCCCTACGAGCCCTTACAACTGCAGTTATTCGTCTTCTCATACTTCTGATACCGCTATCGATCAGTTGTTGGGCAGTCTCTCCCATTCCTCAATCAAAGCAATTGTGACTTCCTATCTGTTTTGAATAGCAGGAACCCGTGCCCTAAGTTTTCTGCCTAGCATGTCCATCGAGCAAAAAGACACTAGAGGGAATGTAAAGGTAGTGGGGGCAAACATATTGTTAGACAGGAAGTGCGATCTTTAGAGGCCACTTTAAACAAGGATAGAGAGTCTCTCTCCTTGTTTGACATCAAATTTAGTTGGGTTATGTTATTGTTTGTCCCAAATGTAACATGAAATCTTATTTATATTGAAGTTTTTTAACAATTGTGTCGCATTTTAGACTCTTATCATTAATAATTAATTAAAACTTTCTCGTCTAAGACACATTCTGAAAAATATTATATAGCTACTGTTGATAAGTGTCGCAAAATTTAAATTTCGCGCATTCGCATTTCCGGATATGTCCGCCATCAGAGGCCACTTTTTTGGTCTCCTTTTCATAAGGATTAGATTCCCTCTTTTGTCTTATTGCTCGATGAGCATGTCCCACATATCCTCTATCGGGTTTAGGTCTGGGGAACAAGCTGGCCAATTCATCGTTGTTATACCCACTTGTAATAAGAAATATCTTACACAGTCTGCGACGTGTGGGCTCGCATTATCCTGCATTAAAATAAAATTTTCGCCAATATATGGTGAAAAAGGTACCACATGGTCTTGGAGAATATCTCTGATATACTTATCTGCTGTTAATGCTCCATCATCAATCACCACTAACTCTGTTATTGCTCCCAAACATATACCGCCCCACACCATAATTGAACCTCCACCAAAAGGTACGGTCGTAGTAAAATTGAAAGGGGCATTTCGTTCTCCTTGGCGTTGATACAATCTTTCTCTACCGTCGATGTAATTTACACAGAAACGGCTCTCGTCCGTAAAGAGAATTTGACTCCAGTGGTTATCATTCAAATTTTGATGTACTCGACCAAATTGTAGTCGTGCTAAACGATGGTGTCTCTGGAGTCTGGGAGCTTTTATTGGCACATATGGCTTGAGACCGGCTTTTTTAAGTCTCTTTCTTACTATGCGCTCAATTAAATACAAGTTTGTACTTGTTATGAACAGACAGAATGACTGTAAAATGTAAAACACAATACAAATAAACAAATTAATTTGACATTTAAGACTTTCTTGTGACAAGGAGCTTTCAAAGCTATGTAGATATAGTCTATAAAATACAAATATAAATAAAGAAATATTGCATTAATAACAGGTTCCTTTAAATTTGCCGGTGTGTGTATTAAATTGTTAACTTCTCATAGCCTACTTTAGGCTTGTTTATTAAACTAAGCAGAAAATGAGGATTTATTGATGAAAAAACATGGCTAGTTGTTAACGTACCTAACTTTTTTATTATCAAACATAAGCAAATGAATCAAAAAAGAAAATGTTAAGAAAGCCTGAGGCTATAATTAAGTTTTAATTTCAATATTTTATATATGCTAGAATATTCCACAGGGTGTTCCGAACTTTAAGGAAAAAAACACAGTAGGATTGTTACACCCGGTATAAAATGACATTGATCTGTCTAGCAACAATATTATTACATCGATATTCTTAAATAATATACCTATAACATACTAAAAAAATCACTAAAATCGGACAACAGGTTTAGGAAATTCGAGACATCTAACATGTCCCAATTTTAAGGTGTTCCGTTAATTTTGCCGGTGAGTGTATCTTATGCGAATATTTTTCCCAAGGAATTCGAGGTTTTTGTCTCGTATAAACATATTTTGCTGAATTTAAAATCAAAATCCAATTATTTTTCTATCACACATTAATTTGTTATTTATTTATTTGTCCTCTAGATTTTTTTCAGTTCTTAAAAGGTTTATTTACATGCTGAATCAGTGGAATGTAAATATTTTACATTTTACACAGCAATTCTTATCGGCAGTGAAGACGGGAAGTCGTAAATTTTTATTACATCTTTCAATCAATGTTTAAGATTAGAGAAACATAATATGTCATATTTATTGGAAAGGAAATACTCGACATCATTAGCACGTGCAACTCCTACCCTGTCGCCCAATTTCCTATGAAATTAAAATGGTGCATGTTTTTAGGATTTATTTTTTCGGGCATGCGTATTTACGAGGTCCAGGAGACTTTGAAACATTTCTATATGTTGCATACATTCATTTATTTGTAAAAAAAAAACTCAAGTAATCGAATCATCCAACAATTTTGAAATTACAATCCTTAATTGGGTTATGTACTTTAACGAATGGTCCTAAATGATTGGGATTTCCCACACCATCATATATTTTGTTTTTCCCCATAATATGATCCTATCCAATCTATCAAAAATTTATTTTCATTCAGCGTAAATATACAATGATCTGAGGGGATATATTTGAATCTTTAGTGTTGGATGTTGCTATCTGGTAAAATTTTCTCTAAAAAAGATGAAATTGGAAAATTTCAGCTGATAAAGCGTTACTTTGTCGTAGGCCTCTGTTGGTATTAAAACTGTCCGAAACATACTCTTCTAACATTAGTTTAAGTGTCACTGTGTATGGATTTAGTTAATCTTATTTTTTTGTGGAAATTCAAAATATTTTAGTGCTTCTAGCGCTTTCGGAAATAAGTTAACAACATGTGTAGTATTAAATTGGATTCGTATATGAGTTATATAAGAATTCTTTCATTGCAAAATTTGGTTGGTTATTGATCTGTTTGTTTTAAAGCCTGATATTGCTTTATATTCTTGCTTGCTTGATATTCTCCCAGATTATTTTTAACTTTGGATTTAATTTTGTTTCTTATAGATATTGCCAAAACTTTATATATTGTTATTTGTAATGAACACTTCATGAATATTTCAAATCTTGTATTAACTCAGTTATTTTTTCTTGCAACCTTTAGTTGTCCAATTTTAGAAACGCAGCAATTATACCGTTTGGTTGAAGTTTCTTGTCGGTATACTGAGCCAGCCAGGTTGAAAAAAGTGTTTTTTTTTTGGTGCTATATCCCTAATATATTGTAAATACAAAAATGGTCGTCACAGTTCGCAGGTATATAATAGTTATTAACAAATGAGGGTCAAAAATGACAGTTTTTTCGTTTAAATCGCTACAGGTACAAATAGGGTAGTTAAATATATTATTTAGAGTAGTTATTTTTTAGTAGACGGCAAAGATTTAAAATAAGATTTTGAATTTTGGCACCATCATTTGTTGCTTTGGAAATTACAAAATAAGGCTAAAATTTCGAAAATCAAAAATTTACTATAACTTTTACAAAAATTAACCTCGGACTTTGATATTACATAAAAAGTGGAGTCAAGTAGTCCTTATAACGCACAAAAACTTTCAAGACGATTCGTCAATTAGTTTAAATTTTATTCAATTTGTTGACCACAAGAAAG